ATGAATATATTGACCTTGTTTTCAGCAACCTCTTGTTAGCCCTTAAGTATAATTTCTAGATTCTCTTCAATATTCTGTGTAATTGTGATACTGTTAATGACATCTCTTTAATTTTTTATTTTCAGCCCTTTTGTTTTTATTTTTTTTATTTTTCTAGTTAGAATATCCAGTGTAATGTTGCACAGGAGTGGTAATAATGAACATATTTGTTCCCAAACTCCTATCGCAAGATTCCACCACCTCTTGCTTTTAGCCCTACTCCAAGATGAATTCTCTTATTATACCCCCTAACCAAGAAATAGGTCTCCCAGTCCCTACCAACCCAGAATTCTCTACATAGGTATGCAGCTCTTACCATCATCATTCAATCAATTGCACTTAACAAAGTTGTCCAGCAATCCATAGGTATTTCATTTAGATGGTCCACTATTCTCGCAGGTATAATGCGTCTGAAGTGATTCAAAACCTCTCTATATATCCATTATTTAAAGGCATCACCATCCACCCAGGCTCAATAGTCAGAAACTTATATTCTTTTCAACTCCCACACCTAATTTACCATCAGTCTTGTCAGTTTCAGATTTTAAATATCTGCCAAAATATTCTCTCCTCTCCATTCCCAACACCAATGATTGGCTTGAGCCTTCAGTATCTCCCACCTATAGTACCAGTTTCCTATCTTCCCTGCGTTTCATCTCAATTCTCGCCTACCATTCTCACTGCTGCCAAGTTTGCCTTTCTAAAATGCAAGTCTGATCATGTTTGCCTGGCTTAAAACCCTTCACTAGCTCCCCATTGTCTACTGTTCTCTAAGGTCTGTTGTCTAAAGTCTTAGTTCTCCAGCTGGTCATGCAAGCCGTTTGTTTATTTACCCTGACTAGCTCTCTAACACACTTTCCTACTGTTCCTCACCTTGTGCTATAGTCTAGCAAATCTGAAGTGCTTATAGTTCACCTAAGCTATTTCCTGGTGCTATGATTTTTTTGCACTGTCTGGTCTGTCTGCTTAGATTGCTCTGGCAGTCTTATTCATTTTCAAAGCCAGTTCACATGTCACTTCCTCCAGGAACTATGGATAAAGAGGGTAAGAAATATTTATTGTGCACTACCTATATGCCAGGTACTATGCAAGATGCCAGGCATACAAAGATGAAATATATATATATATATTTATATATTTCATATACTATATAATATATATATATATAGTCGTACCTCAGTTACAGTTGTACCTCAGTATCCCCAGGGAGATTGGTTCTGGATCTCCCATAGTTGCCAAAATCCATGAATGCTCAAGTCCATTAGTAGCCCTTTGTGTTTGCAAGATTTGGTTGGTTGTATTCACGGATGTGTAACCTGTGGATACAGAGAGCCATCTGTATTCCAAATGTTGCTATTTTCATTTCTTGCTTCCCTTTAGCTTTAACTGCCAGGAGCATGATTTTTACTTATGTGCTTATTTTCTTTTCTGCCATTTCTTTTCTCCATTCTTGATAAATATACATGTAGATAAACAAATAGCACATTGTTCTCAAATAATAAAGTTTCTAAAAAGTATTTACAAACATTCATGGACACAGTTTCAACTAGGAAGTGTGATTATAAATGATGAGATCATAAGCTCAGTACTTTGTGGTTAGTCCCTGCACCAATCGACACAAAGAAACACAGTATGGCTAGGACTGTGATTAAGGATGTGTGCTCTGAAGGCAAGATGGCCGGAGTTTGCATCTCAGCTCTGCTACTTACAAGCTGGGTGACTCAGAATAATTGAAGCTTTGTGCTTGAGCTGTAAATTGAGGACAATGATAGTCCCTGCCTTATTGTGTTGTTGAGAGAATTATTGAAGTCAATACAAAAAGTGCTTGGAATGGTGCCTAACACAGTATGTGTTTAATAAATGGTAGATATTATTATTACTCTGTGTATGAGTACACTTTTATCTCAGTCACTATTAGCATGTCAAGTGATTTTTACTTCTATATCTAGCAATGAAAGAACTGTTGTTCTGAGCCAAATGTGTACTCTTATCTAATTTTTAATGAACTAATGGCACCTGTTAGCCGAATGACTGGCCCAGGAGAGCTCATGGCAGTGTAATGGAATTTACTTTATGTGAAAATAAATGACACAAGTGGAAAGAAACTGCATTGGCACACACTGATAGAGTCAGCTAACTGTGAATACAGATTGAGATATAGCTAGCTAGTGAGAGTATATAGTGTAATAGCTAAGAACACAAGGTCTGGAATCAGATTGCCTCACTTAGACTCATAACTGCACTACTTATGAGTTTTGTTACCTTGGGCAAGTTACTTCTTTGTATCTCAGCTTTCACATCTGTAAAATGTGATTGATAACAATAGTCCTTATTTTACACAGATATCGTGTGAGTTTAATGAGATAATGCATCTAAAGCACTTAGAACACTGCTTGGTACATAACGTATAATAAGTGGTAAAGAAAAAAAGATGTGGGCTGGCCAAGTGGTTCGTTGGTTAAGAGTTGGCTTGGGAACGCGAGCTCTGAGCAGCAGGGCTGCTGGTTCGGATCCCACATGGGCCAGTGACACTGCCCTCTACAGCTAAGATGGTGAACAATAGCTCCACCTGGAGCTGGGTTGCCGTGAGTCACCAGCGAAGGTGTAGGCTGCAGCCCCTGCTGCAGTGGGCTGCCGTGAGCTACCGTGAGCGGCCAGCAGCTGGTATGAGCTTCAATGAGCGGCCATCCAACTGCCAGTGACTGATCTGCCTCAGCCGGGAAGAGCGCAATGATCACAATACCAACATGGGCCAGTGAAGTGACGTCCTCCACAGTTAGACTGAAGAACAAAAGGACAGCAACTTGTCTGTTCCCCTCCCTCAATTCCCCAATAAAAAGTCTTAAAAAAAAAAAGAAAGAAAAAGAAAAAAAGATGTATGTAGTAAACAGAGAAACATATAAATAAAAGTTAATCTTAAGTGATTAAGCATTTAAGTGTTCACTCCAAGAAAAGCAATGGAGGGAGATATTCAACTGAATAAGTGATTCTCAAGAGAAAATAGGAAAACTGTAGTTCTGCACTTAGGATAACCTTTGTTAAAGCCATTTTTTGGTTCCTATAGAAGTCTCCAACATATCCCCCAATTATGTTTAATTTAGGCCACCAGGATTCACCAAAATATGCCCCATGGAACATCTGCCCTGAGATATGCATAAGAAAAAAGGGCTTTATGGTAGAATAATGCTGAGAAGTGCTATATGACATATTCCCTTGGAAATTCAAATGTTCAAATGTACACTAGCACCCTAAGGATTCGATAAAATGTTTTATTTAGTTTAATCCAGCATTTCATGAATTTATTTGATCACAGAGCATTTTCCGCCCATATACTATTTATTAACATTCCATGGAACCACTGTTCCATGGAATAAACATGGAGAAATGCTGGCTTCAATGAATACTAAAATGACCTTTATACCAAAGCAAGGGCTGAGGGGCATGGGATGTAGGTGTGGGAAGGAGAGGGCTCATACTTTTTTAGACTGGGACTGAAAACTTGCTTAGAACAATTGACAAAGCCAGGAACCACACAAATTCCTCAGGGTCACGAACACTCACACAGGCACAATGTTCCTGGAAGCATGTGCGGCGTCTCTGGGAGGGAGAAGGGGTGTACCCCTCACTCACACTGTATCCTGCTTCTGTGCTGGGATCCCACTGTGGAAGATCTAAAGGCTCCTAAAAGTACTGTGCCATCCACCTGCCTTTGGCCATGAGTTCCTGCATTTACTTCCTACTCTCTGGAAGAGAAGAAGCTACAAGAAAAACATTTAAAGTGATGAGGCCCAATTGGGGAACCAGGGTCCAGACCAGGAGTGGAACAGGAGGAGGGAAGATAGGGAAAAGGTACTGGGTTGAGACCTCCAATCAGATTCAGGACAAGGATGATCCTCTGCGTGGGGGCAGCATGAGGGACACTAATGATATCCGTGAAGATAACCCTTTACAGCAGAGCAGGGCAGGTATACACTTAGGAGAAATAATATTGACGGCTAAGGTCAGTGATCAGAATGGAAACTTCCTGAGGGGCAGAAACCATGTTTAATGCATCTTTATAATTCTTTTCTTGAGAAAAAAGATGGTGGCTGGGAGGGAGGAGAATTGTGTTTGTTACAGAAGGCGGTGCACAGTGAAAAATCCTCAATAAGGGATAGGTGTAAAAAATGGCTTGCTGTCTATTTACATTGGTCGGTGTATAGATTTTCCAAGTTACTGTTGTTTGGTTGGTTCCTGAAAGCAGGTGTGCCTTCCTCCTCTGTTTTTCTTTAACCCTCTCTGTGGGTTCCTGCCAAGCAAGAGAGACAGGATTATATCCTAGGTGGCCTGGTGTAAAGAGACCTAGAATCTTTTAACTCTGGGAGGGCTGAAGTCTGTGAGGAGCTGTCATTCCGCATGCAGGATGGGAAATAATAAAAAGGAATATAGTGACAACAACAATGCTTAACTATGGGTGGTGGGAGCAGGATTTTTTCTTATTTCCATTAATTTGCATTTTCCTAACTTTTCTGTAATAAGTATCTGTTACTTTTGTAATTGTGGAAAATTCAGTTTACTTTCCTAGTTCATACCCTACACCTTTAGTTTCTAGAAAATATGAACAGCTATTATGTGTAAACTTCATATTAGTGTGTTTTTAGTGGGGGGAACAAAACACACAAAAAAATGAATGTTTTTCATGCACGTATGAGTGAATGGAAATATAACGCAGAAAATACTCCCTAAAAAGTTATATTTACATAATTCTACGAAGAGAGGGGGAGAAATAAGGGTAAGGTTTCCCGAGAACTTCTGGAGAAAAATGATTAACATTTTTCAGGGGACCGTGCTTCGGTGGAGAGAAATACCTGGCAGCCTGCAGAAGGGGCGGTGGCAAGTAGGAAAGGTGGCCGCGGCCCTCGGAGGCCGGGGGCGGAGCAGGAAACGGCGGCGCCGGTGCGGGAGGCGGAGCCGCGGGGAGCGCCTCAGGTGGGGATGAGCCGGCCGGTACCCGCCCTCTGACCAGGGCGAGCGGGCCCTACCGCCGCGCTGCGCTGAGTGAGGGGGAAGCGGAGGGATTCCTGGAGAAGTGCTGCGTCTTGGGGCGGCAGCTGATCAGGAGAGACACCCAGTGCCCCCAAAAGCCCCTGAGCTGAAAGGGGCCAGAGAGGGGCTGTCATGGGCCCTGAGCTACCTGCATCTTGGCTGCTGCTCTTCACCTGGCTCCCAGCAGGTGAGCCGCGGGGAAACGGGTCCCACCCTGGCGCCCAAGGAGATAGGAAGCCATTGTTGGTTGCCTGGCCTTGCAGAGCTGACCACAGTGGAGGCCTGGGCTGCGCTCGGGTGGCTCTTGGCATGGGCGCCAGGAGGTGCGGGGACTGGATCGAGTTTCTGCCTGTGGGAATCTGTTGTTTTCCTCTTTTATTAGCCCAGGCCGTTCAGAAGCAGGTACAACTCCGAAACCCAGAGCCTCTAGGCTTCCCCTGCTGCAGTCATTAGGCACTTCTTGGTCTGTAAAGCTGAATTGATAGATGCGGTAACACCACTTTTACAGTTCTTAATTCCTTTTTTCCTTTCATCTGATACTTGATTTTAGGTTTTAGGTATGGTACAACCATAGTGGCCCAGAAATACATTTATTTCACTCCTGCGACATTATAATGTGTCCTCAAGTATATAATGGGTGTTCGATATGATTCAGAACCTATTTTACAGGACCGCAACATGTAGCTCTTTGCTAACTATCTTCAGGGTCACTTTCCTACTTTCTTGGTATCCATCCACTTACCCTCGTTCACTATCTCCCCATTAGGTGTCCAACCAATCACCCACACCATTTTCAACCTCCACGCCAATCTGCTGGCTGCTTTGGAAAGCATGGTTTTGTGTGTCTCAGTTTTTATCTCTTGGGAATATGACAGGGGTGTGTATCTGCATGAGTGAAACCAGGTAGGAAAGGATAGCTGAGTAATGGAATGTGCAGGTTCTTTCAGCCGTTTTCAATTAGGATGTCGGTGTGAACTTCCATATATCATTTCCCTTCGAATTTCTGCCGTTTCATTTTATCTGTTACCCCCTCCCCCCACCTCTTACCTCTTTGTCAGTGGGAGGTCAGCTCAGTTTGCCCACAGACCCATTTGAGTCTTGTCTTTTTCTGAGAGAAAAGATACAGTTTCATTTTTACAAGCTTCACAGGACATGAAAATAGCTCAAATGTAACAAAACCTCATTCTACAATAACTTGAGGGAGAGAGGGAGGGAGGATAGCAAAAGGGTAGAAAAACTAGAAAATTGGGATCCCTAAGGCCTTCTAGCTTACCACATATTCTGCAGGATACAAGGCCTACAAATTATCTGAAGCTGATAAGACTAGATGTTGGACACCCATGATACACAAGGCAAAGGACTAAACCTCACCTAAACTGAAGTGGCTGAAATTCCAGTAGAGCTGTCATTAGATTGAACTATGAAAGCAAAATAAAAATCCCCCTGTTTTGCAGTTTTCTCTCCTGTGCTTCATATGTTCAGCTTAAAGTCCACAGCAGCTAGGGATTTCTGAAGTTGCTTGAGCTGCCTTTTTAGGAAAATAGAGGTCTAGTCACACCTCGGCCCCTAAGTACCACATCCCCAGAGTGCTCCCGAGCTGAAAGGGACAGAGATGGGCTAGCATGAACTTTGTAGCCAGTAGTCATCCAGGTCAATAGGATAAGAAAAGAAGCCTTACAGACAAAAATCCCATTGGGGTATAAACTCCAATCTTTAAATCACCAGCATAATGTTTTAAAAGCTATTCAGTTTTTATGAAGAATATTGAACACTGAACATTTTTCAAATACATTGATGATAACCAAAGGGTATATTCTTCTAGTAAACAAATTGCTCAGTGGACAGGGACTTCAGAAAGCAGAGCTCCAGGTTTTCTTGAACCAGCCATGCAGTGTGAGTAGCCAGGATGCTGAAGTGCTGAAATAATATAGACTGCTGTGTTTGCCTGGCATTCTTTAAGTGGAAGCCTACCTGCAGAACCAGAGAATTTTAGAACCAGAGAATGCTAAATGCAGATAAAGTCCTAAATGATCATCTACTTTCACTTTTATTTCAGAGGTGAGAAATTGAGATTTCAACTCAATTTCTGTTTTGACTATATAACACTTTGATGGGAAAATATCTCTTTTAGCAGAAATTTTCCCTGAGTATGTGTAGGAAATGTAAATAAACTGCATTCAGCTATTTAATATGCATTTGGATTTTTCATCCACGATATTTGTCAACTTACTGAACTGCTTGAAAGCCTCCAGTAAAGTGGGATGATTATAGTCCATATCGCATACGTTTTTTGTGAAGATTAAATGAAATGAAGGTTTCAAAGCACTTAATACAGTGCCTGGAACAAAGTAAAGGCTTAATAAATGTAAGTCATGATGGTAATGGCAATCATGATTTAAACCCAAGTAGGATTTTTTTTAAAGCTGTCTTTAAAGAAACAGTTTAGGCTTCCCTACTCTGCCGTCCCCTACAGCTAAGAAACTGCAATTAGTTGTCAGATGACTTCAGTTTGTATTTCAGAATCTGCCTCTTACTAGTTGTAACTTTGGAGGAATCACTTAATCTCCCTTCGTCTATTGGGTTGTCGGAAGGAAAAGTCATGACGTATTTTTTTCTATGTTTTTTCGTTGCAAAAATGTGGCATGACTTTTCCGACAACCCAATAGAAAACAGACAAAATGCCTGACAGGCCTCGTCCCGCCCAACTCCCACCCCACTAACAAGGCCAACTCTTGTTGGGTGGGTTAGGATTGAGCACAGTGTCTGCAACATGGTCATCACTCAGGAAATATTGGGTCTCTCCCCACTGGCCTCACTTCTTTATTTTTAAACCAAACTTACTAAAATGTCTCTAAGATCAAACTGGTGAAGATCCGCTTCCTCTCTCACTCCCAGTATCTACCAAAACCATGTTTTTCAAACTTTTTTTCATAGTCCCCAGTAAGAAATACCATTTACATGTGACATGTGCACACATATATAAGGTTTATAAAATAGAAACAAAAGGTTCACACACACAGCATTACCATGTTGGATAAAAGAAAAAAAAATTGACATCAACTATTTTAATAACATTTAAATTCATAGAAAATATCCCCCAAATTAACAATATTAAATAGAAAAATCCAATAAGTTTAATTTCCCAAGATCCACTGCAAACTGTGATATGAATCTTGGAAAACCCTAACACTAGAGTGTGTTCATTTTGGTCTATCACTCTTCTGTTTCTAAAGAAGAGTCAACCCAATCCTCTGATTAGCATCCAAGTTTCTGCAGTTGAAAGTATGGGCCACAGAATTATGAATTATGTCAGATGTGGGTACTTGCTCGCTGGTGTGGTGTGGGGCCCCTGATGAAGACTTTCGGGTCAGGGCGTCCTGGAAAGCTACTGCAGTCCCTGTGCTCTGAGCTGTGAAGAAATCAGTTGTCAGAGGATTTTTGTGTTTTTTTTTCTCTTCTTTACAAAGAAGTAAATTTTTTATCACACAAGTGATACTTACTCCTTAAAACAAGATAAGGCTAGAGTAAGTACCTGCAGCCCCTTTTGTATTATTGGCTAACAGCTCTGGTTACCTTCATCCAACCTTAAAGTTTATTCCTGGAATGAAAGTTCAGTCCCCCCCCTCCCCGCCCCCAAACTTTTAAAAGGGTATGTGTCATTTGTGCTTTTGTGAAAAAAATTTAAGATCATAAGAGTGGTGTTAACTTATAGATCCACACACCTGTCAACGTGTAATATCATTCTTTGGGAAATCAGACAACTGACTCCTAAGGGACAAGATTCTTAGAGAGCATCTAAAGCTAGTAATTTTCGCTCAGTGGTAAAGATGAAGGTTGGGATCCTATTGAAGACTTAATGGCATCTTGATACCTGAGATAGTAGATAGTAAAGTGGAACTTCTCAAGCTGAGAGGAGGATATGGGTGGTGGATGGGAGCTGCCCATTCAGCTCCTCTCTTGCTCCCATGGGTCCCCTGGAGTACCTCCCTAGAATCCCAGCGCTCTGCTGAACACAAGCAGAAATCACTCGAAGCCCCTGTCTTCCCCTCCCAGCCAGTTTTACAGATAAGGAAATCTGTGTCCAGGGAAGTCACGCATCTCAGGTTGACACAGTGGAATTAGTTTGAGAGCTGGGACCAGAACCGTGGCATCCTCACTCTTAGTCCATTGCTCTTTCACCTGTTTCATGCTGTGGAGCGGGTTTGTTTTGTCTAATTGGATCCTGGCATGCATAAATAGAAATAGGTTGCCTGTATGCAGAAAATAGTTTGCCTCCTGGATGTCTAACTAAATGCTACTTATTAAACATCTTGCCCCAACAACAATGCAGTAGAATAACATGCTGGGTAATTAACGGATCATCCGCCTAGGTTTCTTTCAACCTAATACTTTATTTCTTTATTTAAAGGCCTTGAGGGAGAAATAAAATTGTGTGTTTTAAGCATCTGAAAGACTCTGTTCATGTCATCTTTCTCCAGTCCTTATTTCTGTATCTTCTGCTGTATTCATTTCAGGGTATGGTGGGGTCAGAGGAGAGCAGTTTTGACACTTTCTTCATTTCCCAAACCCGGTTAATCACCAAGTTCTGATTCTAGTAGGACCTGCCTGCTCTTTTCTATTCCCAGCAACAAACGTCACACAGGCCTACTTTAAGCATTTCAGCAATCTTCTTGCCTTCGCACCTGCTACCTCTCTGTCTAGCTCCAGCCGTCTTCTACCCAGATGATAAGTGAACTTACCTGGGTTAATCTTGCCTACCTTTACCTAAATCCTCCAAGAACCCTCACTAGATCCCCATAGCTGCTAAGAGTGTGTTCAAGTTCTTTGCTTGGAATTCCAGGCTCACTCCTTCTGGCCTCACACACTTGGGCAGCCTTGTCCCCGCTGAGATTGCATGCTCTCGTAACCCCTACTCCCAGCATATACCCTTCTCCCTTGCTTTTTGCCTTTCCATACTACAAATGGTCAACTTTATTTATTTTTCTGTACTTTTAGAGCACTTAAAATTTGCTCCAAGCTGTTTAGCCTGTCTTATATGAATTTATTCATTCTTTTATTCAGCAAATGTTTAGTGCACTACAATACAGTGGAATGAGATGCTGGGTAGTGAACCCAGCAGGCCTGAGAACAAACGCAGATATGGCCCTAGCCCCATGGTGCTTAAAGTCTAAAGGAAATACAAGAAAA